ATATAACTTTTAAAAACATTAGTTTAGTAAAGTTTTTTGTAAACTCTTTGAGAGAGGAGTTGATTCAGCATTCATTTCAGTTCATTGGATTGCGGAACAGAACAGAAATGCTTCTTTGTATAAAGCGATATAGACCTTTTTCACAGCAGTCATTTTGGCATGAAATAGGGTAAACACAGGTGTTACCAATGATATTAATTAAGGTTCTGTTCCATTTAGTGTAGCAGAGCCTTTCCAGTGAGCCAACATGCACAGTAGCAGCTACTCTTTAAATATCTGCATCGGCCATTGAAAACCATTGGGCCAACACTAGTGTTGAGTATACCAATAATGTAAGCTCTTATTATTACTGGAATTCAAATTGCAGAAGCAATACAGGTGATAGAAATTCCACACATCTGCCTTAAGTAAAATTAAATGTAAACAGGGTACAAGACTATTTTAATTTGAAGGTTTCCGTTAGTTACCCTGGTACATAGTGAATTTTGACTGTTCCAACAAAACATTAGCATGGCTTTACTTTTCATACTTAAAGTGTCTATACACATTGGCCAACACGTGTCTTCACTAAATTTGCCAGATTAGACTGTATGATGTCTAATTATTGAGAATAACTGACACCTGTGAGGGTTAGCAGGGCCTTTTAACTTTAGGCCAGTAAACTATCGATACTGGACTATTGCTGCCCTCCATCGGGCTAGTGTTTACTGTGTCCACAAGAAGATTCCATTTCTGTTGTAGTATTCATAAACGTTTGTGTACACGACTTCCCATGTCATCACTATGAGCTCACAAGTTCCATCTGAAGGCAGCACATGTCTAACTCTAACTCTCCTTTTACAGTTGTGTTTTTAATGTTCAATATCCTTACAGGAAAGTAATTAATAGCAGCTACACTCTAGCTTACTTTCTACTTATGTGACTTTGAACACGTCCCAGCCATGAGATGTTACAGTAGCAGGGAGTGTGGTGTGTTATGGCTGATGTGGGTCACCACGCAGACTGTAGGCTGCAGACATCAGTTCCACATGAGCGCTCCTCAGAGTGACCATCACTCTAAATTGAAGTGACGCTACATCTCTCACACTACAGAACAGCATGTCAGTCGGGGAGGGGAGCACTAACATGCCACAGCGAGGACCAGGACCGAAATAAGGCAAATAAGGTCAGCATGACCAAAAATAACATTTAAAACATGGCTCAAGACAAACCATCATGTGATCACTGAGCTTAACCTGTATGGAACCAACTGTTGTCCTGTATTCTTAACCCACATTTCCTTACACTTTGGAAACTGGCACCATTAAAAGTATGCTGACTGAGCTATGAGCATTTCCTGTTTGTAATGTACTTGTGGAAGCTATCCAGCTATCACTAGACTACTCTGATACTGGAGATTCTGACTCTCAGGAAAGTTCAGGATTGCAGCGATACAGACAACAGATATATCATTATCCTTGCAAAGTGCAGATCACACCGAATCTGAAATTATGTGCATCATCAACTGCAGCCATCGGCCGCATTAACAGCTTGAAAACTAAAACTGTCCAATTAAGGGAAGACTAGTAAAACAGTGTTTGTCACACCTATAAATGTTTTTATCCTGGGATATATGGACTAAATTAAATATATGGTATATTATGCTGTATGTTTATTAGCTTGGCGGTAATGAATTTTTATGGTGAAAACACGTGCACACGCACACTAACCTACGATGACTCAGACTAATCTGCTGTAAATAAAAGCAAGTGAACCCATTCTCTTCCTCAACATGATCTCAACCTGTCATGCTATGCTGACTTTCTGCCAACAGATAAAACTAGGCTAAACATCAGTGTGTGTCCAGAGCAGAAAGAGCAAATCCTGGACTCCTGCAGTCAGTAAGTAAGATCTCAGTCAGGCTCAGGGTTTGAGCTGCAGTATTCTTCCTTAATATTCATTTCAGCAAAATTATCAAACTAAAAGTCTAATATTATAGAGCCTCACCTCTATCACGGTTCTATGTTTTGTATAATGTATCCTTTGTAAGCATCCAATCCAATCTGGCCTAAAGTATGAACATCTAAAAAAATCCCAAAACTCTAAGGAGAACTCAATGGGAAAGTGGCGAACCCGGAACCCAGAAAGGATTTGGCTCACGAGAAAACTGATTTATATGCTGGGAAAAATCTCTGCCGTAGCCTGACCTTTGCCACATGTGGGGAGATTGTTTTCAGATACCGACAGCAGCACTGGACTCTGGACTCTTTGGACTCTCATAAAAAGCAATAGCTCATAATCACATGTGCAGGTGACAGTGAGGTTGTCTTACTCTGGAGGTACTCCAGCAGGCTGCCATTCTTCATCAGCTCTGTGATGATGTAGATGGGCTCCTCCATGGTGCACACAGCGTACAGCTGGATCAGCTTGGCATGGCGCAGCCTCTTCATGATCTGAGCCTCTCTCAGAAAGTCCTCAGGGTCCATGGTACCTGCGGGAGATGTTCACTGATATTATATTAGGTGATACACAGTATGTGGTGTAGTGTTTGTACACTACACAGATATTCTCTTCAGAAATCTATAACTTTTGTTGTTTTGTTTCGGTTAGCCATGGAGGCTAGTGCTGCTCATGCTAACTATCCTGTTCATTTTCTAGGAACTGAGCCTGCCTACGATTCTATATTGCCAGATATTCTTAATATAGACTTTTACTTACTAAGTGTTCAAATGAGAGTGACATGGAATATAAACCCATATTAAACCAAAACTTCAACAGCTGATGTTTAATTTGTTGCCCACAACACTGGGTGGGTGTCCTGTTCAGGTTCATCTTAATCACATCAGATCACCATCAGTGACAATAGGAAATTTTAACTGAGGTCCCTCAGGGCTCTAACTTAGGTCCAATTATCATTTCTTTTTTAAAAGCTCTTTCTTGGTAGTATTTTTAAGAGCTGAGCTGAGAAATGAGAATTTGAGGCAAATTCAGAATTATTATTTCTAGTATGACCTTTGCAGTTACGCTAAGCCTATGTACAGAAAGCAAGGAGTAGTCTCTGTTAGCTTACTTAGGACAAACAGATCAATATAACAGTCCAGTCCAGCTTAATACAGCTCAGAAACCTTTTAAAAATGTTTTTATTATCTATTTCATTATCTCATCTGTAACAATAATCTTTATTTATAGAGCACTTTTAAAACCATCTAGGCAAATGCAATTTGAAGAAAATACAATACTAGTTAGATACTGAATAAATGATCAGATTTTAATGATCACATACTACACTGTTGACATGATCATTAAAACTTGCACTTAACAAATGTTTACTTAATTTTAATTGTCTGTTTCTAGTTTCAAAACTTCAGTCAGGGAAAAGGAGGCATTAATGTACCAGGTTTAAGGGTCTTCACTGCAACTGCTGTGGTTTCGTTCCACAGGCCCTCAAACACTTCTCCGAACTGACCGGCTCCCAGCTTCTTCAGCAGCTTGATGGATTTGCGGTCAATCTCCCATTGGTCCACAGTGTTGTATGACAGACCATGAGTCTGTGGAGCCTCCATCTACACCGACAGGAAGAGTCACTGTTTACTGATATGGCCATGTGACTTTATACTAAAGAGTGCAATTAATGATGAGAAACAAGACAACAATGGAATTTAGAATATTTACAGCAGTTCATGTCATACTGTACAGCGTGTTTTACCTTTTTGCATGGTTCACCCAGACGCACACAGAGACCATCGGCCTGTTTGGAGTAATGTTCCACTAACTCATTAATTGTTTGAAAGGATCGGGTCCTCGACACGAAGTAGTGCCCATTCTCCAGTTTTTTCAGCTTGTAATGCTTCACCTTCCCACTGTCCAGTACTGAAAGACAAGTCACCATGCAGTGAGATATATGTAAGGTTTCCTCATGGTACAGTAGGCCTAGCAAGCTAACACAAGTTTGTCATAGTCTTGCTCACATGACTAGAATGAGACATTCCAACAGGCTTAATGTGCAAAAATGTTTACATGCCATTTAATAGTTGCAATTGTCATTATAGCATGTCATTATGATAGAAATATGTTTAACTGTGGTTTAAAACAGCATTACATTATTCTTTTGGCCATTTGTGGCAGAAAAAAAAAGACATTGCTTCACCTTGTTCCACTATGTTCACCAGCTAGTTGCTAACTTTGTCTGTCTGCTGTTTGGTGCTGAGGTACTGTACTGTATCTTTGAGGTTAAGCAGTTGACTATGAATGTTTATTACAGATATACATGAAAACATAACATCAGAAGTTCTTGTTTAGTTCTGAGAAAGAAATCTGATAGGGAGAGTGGCTTAACCTGGCACCCTAACCCTGCATTTCACATATACAGTACAGAGAGGTCATGAGTATATTATCACGTGTTACTATCAGTATCGTTAATCATGAGTGTGAACCCATCGCAATGTCACCAACTGGTTTGTGAAGTATTGTTTTGAAGCCTCGGGTGGCATTAAATCTTACAGCCACCAGCAGTGACATAGTGTGCTCATTGGCTGTGCTTAGTTTTAACTCATCCGTAGCAGGACACAATGTTCTATAACATTCTCGTAATTCCAGATAAACAGTACAGTAAAATATGTTTCAGAAATTATTTTATGTGAGAAATAATCTTGATTTATATCTGATCAGCACTGTC